GTGAAGGAAAGAGGAGACCAGCTGCATAGGCAGGCTGCGAAATGAGATGCAGGTAATCAATTTGTGTGATCGGCAACAAGAGACCGTAATCGGCGATCACTGATCATACACTTTTTCACAGAAATCGGCCGATTATGATCGGTGGCCGATTGATCGGCACACCTCTCGTTTCATTCAGTGAAAGAATCGGAATCGGTGTGATCAGGCCAGGCTATATGCACTTAGAAACGGAGTTCTGTCCGTGCAGCCAGGAGACAAGGCTGCAGCATAACTGGGATCTTAATGTTTAAAGGGGCAGTATCATGTAAAATCAACCTTTTGTGAGATTTACATCATGGTACAATGTTATTCCCTCATCAAAAACATACGTGAAGTGTGGATTTAGTTCTTCCATGCATGTTTGAGAAATCCATTAATCTCCATGGCAACCATTAAGTATGCAAAATTTACCGCCACCTTTGAGATTCAGCTCCTGTGTGAAGCTGCAGTCTCCAAGCTTCCGTCCCACAAAGACTACATTCCCCATTCAGTTCCTTCAGACTAGCCAGCAGCAGTTGGCAAACACCTGGTGGAACTGGTGTTTGCCATTTCCACCAGAAAAGAGTTGAATCAGCTGTTTTCCTATTCAGCACTAAACTCTGGTTGACCTGAGTTTACTATACAAGCAAATTCTCAGTGCAATGCTGGTAAAAATGTTAAAGGGTTAATAGAGGAGCCATGTTGAATTTCAGAAAGAACAGGAGTGTCAACATCAAAGCAACTTTTAGACACAGCTGACTGGGAACGACCACCATCTGTTCCACACAGAGTTACCTTACTAGTCGTGTTTCCTTCAGTGGTTTTTATGGGGATTTTGAAGCATTACATTAAAAAAGGTTGATGGAAATGGCAAATTTTGAAATAACTTCCTCAGTTTTGCAAATAAGTTTTAACCCTTGCTTGAGGTGGTTTTTGTCTTTCTTGAAAAAGAGTTAATGCGGTAAATGGAAGATGGAAACACATTTGCTGAATAGGTTCTGATGGAGTGAATGCTCCCATCCACTGTCCCTTACCACTGATCCACATCCAGACCTGTGAAGGTATTTGTTAGGGAATCCAGACTGCAGCATTATGGATGAACGTATTCTGCTTTTCACCATGTGCTTCATTTAGTTCATCTTGTACCATGACAAACCTCCTTCACAGCCTACAGCAGCCCTGGTTGGATGTTTACATATTCAGCTGACTGACTCTCAGCAGCCCATGTCTGTTGCTGTAGATGCACCAGATTAGGCTGTTTGATCCCAGTGGAAATTCTGGCTGATGGCATCAATTGTACTGGACAGGAATTATAGCATGAGAGGAGATAAATCCATGATGTATAGAGTAGGTCTGAGTTGTGTTAATGTGTTGGCATATGATGTTGCATACGAAACTCTAACTTCCTGTTTGTTTTGTTTGTTTGCAGGCAAAGATGAAGGTGAGTAGTGACCCTGCCTCATTCACATGGCTTGAATGAAACGTGAGCTTGGGTGTAAACATACTGCAAACACTTTAACCAAACACCTGGTTTAAACAACCTGCTGTCGGCACAAATAATCCTGCTGATTCATCTGGTTCCTCCACAGAAGAGGAAGTCCACACTGAAAGCAGAGCATGAGTCTCCTTTTTAACAGTTATATTTCTAAGTGATGAAATAAGTAGGAAACGTATGTTAGTAGTTTTACTGTAATCTGGGTTTTTTGAGCTCGGAATATCTGCTTGAACAGGCAGGATGCCTAAATGCCTGCAGCCGCATGTCTGCTCTCTGTCTCAGTGAGAGCAACGATGGTTCTGATGGTAATGAAATGATCTGAATGAGCCTCAACAGACCTCTACTGTTGAGGCCTCAACAGTAGAGGTCTGCTTTTTTGTTACCTGAAGACAGATGGTATTACAGATACAAAGGTTTATCCTGCTCTGAGGTCAGACTGGGATGATATTTCTATGCTGGATACACACTTTTAAACCTGTTACTACTGTATCAGTTGTGCCTCACCGCTCCTCTCAAATGTATAATCACTTCAGCTGAAGTGATCAGGATCATCATGATTAACTACCGAGTTGATCAGGTCAACCTGGATCAACATTTCTTTTTCTTTTCTTTTTTTTCTGTTTTTTTTTTTTTTTTTTTTTTTTTTTTTTTTTTTATAAAAAAAAAAAAATTTTTTTCTCTTTTTTTAAAATTTTTTGAATTTAA